ACTCAATTTTTCAGTTAAAGTCAGTTCATCATTGATTCAGTGATGTCATTGTCCAGCTCAGTTCAGTTCTCTTCAAATAGTGTCTGTGCAATCAAGTTGACAATATTGCCAGAAATTAAGTGTCCCCAACTAAGCAAGCCAAAGGTGACAGTGGCAAGGAACCAAACTCCATTAGTGACAGAAATGGAAAAAACAAACAAACCAAAGAAAACACTTGTGAGAGAGCAGGCTCAGTTGGGGGTCAGTTCTCCTCTGGCCAGAATTTGGATTGTGTGAGGATGAAAAACTCACCAGCTCTTACACAGATGATCTGAAGAAGAATCACAACAGGAGCAGCAAACACTGCAAACTCAACAATAATCACAATCACTGCAGGAAAGATGTGTGGACAGATGATAGACACAAATCAATCTGTGAAACGATGAATGAAATCAAAGGATCATATAAATGATGAATGAACTTCCACTGCTTCATGAATCCCTAATCTATTATCATGTTATTTCAATCTCAAGGTGTCAGGAGAAACATTTACCGTCCGAATAGGGCTTTTCAGTTGATCTGAATCTCACAGTACAAGTGATACATATGCATTGTAAGACTTATAAAACTCATAACTCTTTATGAAGCAAATGATATGCAAGAATAAAACTTTCTGACATTGTTCTTTGGGGAGGAACTCTATCTTTGAGTTGATCTGAATCTCACAGTTGAATCTGCTGGTTTTGAAGATGAAGATGAACTTTATTCACTGTGAAAACGGTTTCTCTCCAGTGTGAATCCTCTCATGTGTTTTCAGGCTTCCTGACTGACTGAATCTCTTGTCACAGTGTGAACACTTGTAAAGTTTTTCTCCAGTGTGGATCCTCTGGTGCTGTTTTAAACAGTTTGCTGAAATAAAAGTCTTTTCACACTCAAAGCACATGTACTCTCTCACACCAGTATGTATTTTCTGATGTACTTTTACATTTTGTAGACATGAAAAGCTCTTTCCACACAAATGACATGAATGTGGCTTCTCCTTTGAATGCACTTTCAGGTGATTCTTCAGGACTGAAGCTCTCAAAAATGTTTTGTTGCATTGATCGCATGCGTAAAGCTTCTCTCTAGTGTGGATGTTCATGTGATACATAAGGTTTGATGATCGTGTGAAACTATTTCCACATTGATCACAAGTGAACGGCTTCTCTCCAGTATGAACCCTCATATGCTCTGTAAGGTGTTTTTTTATTGTGAAACTCTTCTCGCACTGATCACATATGTATGGTTTCTCTCCAGTGTGGATCCTCTCATGTGTTTTCAGGGTTCCTGACCGACTGAATCTCTTGTCACAGTGTGAACATTTGTAAGGTTTCTCTCCAGTGTGGATCTTCTCATGTCTTTTCAGGGTTTCTGACCGACTGAATCTCTTGTCGCAGTGTGAACACTTGTAAGGTTTCTCTCCAGTGTGAATCCTCTCGTGTGTTT